ACTTTTTCTTTTATCTAGCCATAATTTTGTATACATTAACCAACTCTTCTTTGTTTCTTTGAGACAGGCCTAACCAACTGCTGTTTATCCCCTGCTCCTCCCTATCCTTCCAAGCCTCTAATAACCACTACTCTATTCTCTACTTCTATGAGATCAGTTTTTTTAGCTCCCACATATGAGTAAGAGCATGTGGTATTTATCTTTCTTGTCCCTGGCTTATTTTAGTTGACATAATGTCTTCAAGGCTTATCCATGTTGCCATGAATGCCAGGATTCATGCTTTTTAATTGCTGAATAGTATTTCACTGTGTATATATTTTACATTTTCTCTCCTTCCTTCCTCCCTTCCTGCCTTTCTTTCTTTCTTTCTTTCTTTCTTTCTTTCTTTTTCTTTCTTTCTTTCTTTTTTTTTTTCTTTCTTTTTTTCTTTTCTTCCTTCATTTTTTTGAGATGGAGTTTCGCTCTTGTCGCCCAGGCTGGAGTGCAGTGGCATGATCTCAGCTCACTGCAACCTCCGCCTCCTGGGTTCAAGTGATTCTCCTGCCTCAGCCTCCCAAGTAGTTGGGATTACAGGCGTGTACCAACACGCCCAGCTAATTTTGTAATTTTTTTTTTAGTAGAGATGGGGTTTTACCATATTGGTCAGGCTGGTCTCAAACTCCTGTTGTCAAGTGATCCACCCGCCTTGGCCTCCCAAAGTGAAGGGATTACAGGGGTGAGCCACTGTGCCCAGCCCATTTTCTTTATTCATTTATATACTGATGGACCCTTAGGTTGATTCCATATTTTGGCATTGGGAGTAGGTGCTGCAATAAAAATGATGCTGATATCTCTTTGACATACTGATTTTGGGGTCTTTTGTGATTCCGGATAAATTTTAGCATTTGTTTTTATATTTCAGTGAAGAATGCCCTTTGCATTTTGCTAGGGATTGCACTAAAGTATAGATTGTTTTGGTTAGTATGTTCGTTTTAACAATATTAATTTTTAAAATTCATGAACATGGGATATCTTTTCCTTATTTTTGTGCATCCTATTCACTTTCCTTCATCAGTGTTTTATAGTTTTCCATGTGTAGATATTTTACTTCCTTGGTTAAATTTATTCCTAGGCATTTTTTTGTAGCCATTGCAAATGTGATTACTTTCTTTTCTTAATTTTTATTTTTTTAAGTTACAGGGTCTCACTGTCACCCAGGCAGGAGTACAATAAATAGCATGATCATAACTCACTGTAGCCTTGAACTCCTGGGCTCAATCAGTCCTCTCACCTCAGCCTCTCAGGTAGCTGGGACTACAGGTTTGCACCACCACGCATGGCTAATTTCAAGAATTTTTGTGTGTGGAGGCAGGATCTCACTATATTGCCCAGGCTGATTGTGAACTCCTGACCTCAAGCAATCCTCCTGCCTTGGCCTCCCAAAGCTCTGAGATTAAAGGCATGAGCCACTGCAACCTGCCTGTGATTGCTGCTTTTTTGATTCTCTCTCTCTCTCTCTCTCTGTCTCTTTTCTTTCTTTCTTTCTTTCTTTCTTTTTTTGGAGTCTCTCTCTGTTGCCCAGGCCGGAGTGCAGTGGCAGGCTCTTGGCTCTCTCCAAACTCTGCCTCCTGGATTCAAGCAATTCTCCTGCTTCAGCCTCCCAAGTAGCTGGGGCTACAGGTGCATGACACCACACCTGGCTAATTTTTATATTTTTAGTAGAGACAGGGTTTCACCATGTTGGCCAGGCTGGTCTCGAACTCCTGACCTCAAGTGATCTGCTCTCCTTGGTCTCCCAAAGTGCTGGGTTTATAGGCGTGAGCCACTGCGCCTGGCTCTTGATGTCTTTTTAGCTAAATGTGGCACTTAGGTTATGTATACTTATCAATATACCATGTAACTCATGCATTGGAGAAATGAAAACATATATCCTGAAGAGGCTTGTGCATTAATTTTCATTGAAACTTTATTCACAATGGTGGAAAACTGGAATAAACACTAATGTCCATGAACAAATGATGAATAAACACATTGTGTTATATTTACATAATGGAGTGCTACTTAGCAACAAAAGGAATAAATTACTGATACAAGTGATAACATGGATGAATTTTAAAAGCATTGTGCAAACTTAAATGATTCTGATACAAAGGAGTCTATTTTGTATGATTCTATTTTTATGAAACTCTAAAGAAATATTGAGATGAAAAACAGGTGTCTACACTATACCAATTAATTAACCTTGTTCATATTCTACCTCATTCCCTTAAAGGTCACTATCCAACTACATTCTATGATGAGTAAGGGAAAGGTGAAGTAAAGACATTGTGAAAGACACATACATAAGTAAGATGAAAGAGAGAGAACCCTAAAAGCTGGACTGAAAAATATTGACATAGTGGCAGGGTGGACGGGTATGGGGAAGATAAAATTATGAGTTCACATTGTTTGTAGTGATATAGTGAATATTTTAAGATGATGAGGAATTAAATGTGTCACACACGACAAGCATTTCTAGGTTATATATGGATTCTTTGTAGTCTAGAAGTCATCCACTTCACTTATTTATCTAAAATATATGAGTCTTTTCCAGGACTTTTCTCAGCACAGGGGGCAACTATATGGAAGCTTGTTTCCAGAAGAGCTATGAATTTATGCTTGTTCAGTTTTTGGATTTTTTTGAGATGGAGTCTTGCTCTGGCACCCAGGCTGGAGTGCAGTAACATGATCTCAGCTCACTGCAACCTCTGCCTCCGGGGTTCAAGTGATTCTCCTGCCTCAGCCTCCTGAGTAGCTGAGACTACAGGTGCCCAAGACCACACCCAGCTAATTTTTGTATTTTCTAGTAGAGATGGGGTTTCACTAAGTTGGCCAGGCTGGTCTCGAACTCCCAACCTCAGTTGATCTGCCTGCCTCAGCCTCCCAAAGTGCTGGGATTACAGGAGTGAGCCACCACACCCGGCTGCTTGTTTATATTTTTGAATGGAATTTGTGTGCATTGTTTCATTTTTTTGTTCGTTTGATTGTAAGGTGAGGGCAGTATTTCCTACTTTTAGGTAGTTGGGAGCAGTAAATGGAAATGTTTGTGGAAAGTTCTTCATAGATGTTCAAGGCCTGTTGTAGATACAGTGTTTTAAAGACCCAGAGTCTGGAGGAAAGAAGAGATAGGTAGAAATAATGAAAAGGGAGACTAGTTGCAACTTCTTCCTTACCTTTTTTTCAAAATACAACAAATGTTGAAGATTGTAGTATTTGTGGTTTTTGAAATTTTGAGATAATTTTAAGAAGAGGAATAATTAATAACTGTTCATCTCTTGGCTCAAGTAATATTTAGGAAATACTAGTATGTGTAGAAGAGCAACACAATAAATGTTTTTATTTAATTTCCCTGAGCATAACAGAGAGCAGATGGGGAATTCTGGGCCTGCCCTGTTTTACTACTAGCCAAGGAGAGCAGAGGAAAGCAAGTGTTTTCCAGACATGGAGCCAGTTTTGTGTTCTCATTGCTGATGTACTGTGAAGGGATTTGAAGGGTGTGCATGCACTTGTCACATTCATGTGGCTTAGATTTGTAGTGGAAAATGTGGTTCTAGATTGTCAACATTGTGAGAAGCCATGGTAACCTGGTCTGTGTAAAAATGTCGTTATTATTGTTATTACTGTTTTCAGTGATTTGTTCAAATAGTTAAGACTTAAAATTCTGAAAACAAGTATTTCTGAAAATGAGACAAAGACAAAATGCTAAAAAATTCTTGGCATATAATTTGTTTTAGCCAAATGCTTGAGCTTGTTTTATTGTGTCTTTGGTTAACTGTGATGGCTTTTCATTAAAAGGACCAAGTGCAGTTGCTTGCCTTGTCTCCATTTTCCTTGGTGAGAGCAAACACTCAGGCTCAGTAAGTGCATGCCTATGATAGGTTTGAAAATGCAGGATGAGGAGGGTGATGAAACTAAGGAGAGAAAGAAGAAATTGGAAAGGAGAACCAAAAATAACCAACAAGCTTAAGCTTTCCTAGAATATAGTCTAACAGGTTACCTTAGTTGGTAAGAGCAGTGTGCCTCAAAGTTAAAGAGTGTATGAATACCCTGGGGCTTGTACAAACATGTAATTTCTGATTGATTAAGTCTAGGGTAGGGCTGGGCAATGTGCATTTCCTTCCATCTCCCAGGTGATGATGATGCTGCTGGCCTTAGAACCACTCTTGGAGTATAACAAGGGTCAAAAGTTGGGTTGGACCTCTTAGCGGGAACATTAAAAAAAAATCTCAGTAAAGATAACTTCTCAAAAGTATAGCTAAACATGATTTAATTTTATACCAACTTGTATACTAAAATATATTCTAAAATTCAAAATCATTGACCAAAAATAAAAGCTTTTGTCTGGCCATTTCACCCTGATTGTTTTCATTCATTGCTTCCTTAGATATTAGGTCTCTTGACAAATATTCTGTGAACAAGTTAAGTCTCTTCATCTTCCAGATAGCATCTTAACCCAGGCTGTCATCTGCTTAACATGGAAAATGTCCAGCTGGTACCTGTATTGTCATGGATAGGGCTCTGGAGAAGCACACAGACCACCTGACTTCTATTTCCAGCTTTGCCACCCAGCTCTGGGACTTTGAACTCCACATATATAAAATGGAAAGCAGCTAGTGTATTGCCCATAAAATAGGGGTTTAGGAAATGCGTAAGGAGACCCTCTTAAGGGTGTAACTAAGTGGTTTCATGTCATCCATGCTTTGAGTAGAACAGGTCAGAGAGGAGAAGTGTTGAGGATGAAAACATGTCCCATAACTTTTAAGGACTTTACTGAGCTGTCCCATCCTTTCTTCTTGTGATATTAGTTGCTCAAACTTTCTTCTACTGCATGTCTAATCTTTTGTTTTATTTCATTTAAATGCAAGTTGCAACCTGCTTAGAGCACTTACCTTTGGTTTTCTTTTATCTGTTCTTGGAGAGATGGGGAAATAGATCAAAGCATAGCATTGTTGACCATTTCTCTTGTTACCCTTCCTTTGCAGATTATTCCTCTGCTGTTCAGAAATTTTCCCAGACGCTGCAGTCATTTCAGTTTGATTTCATTGGAGACACTCTGACTGATGATGAAATTAACATTGGTAAGTCTTCAGCTATGTGTGGTCACATACCTCTTGAGGCAGCCCTGAGACCATGTAGTCTTTTTGATTTGTAGATACAGAGCACTTGGACATCTTCATCCACTGTGGTCTAATGTCAAGGTCCTGGGAGGTTTCTTAGGAAGGATAAGGAAACTTTCCCTGCCAGTCCCATTTCCCCCTCAAACAACCACAATCAAAAGATACCCTTAAACTTCTACTGAGGTTTTTTACTCAGGCAGTCTGCAAGTAACCTTTTCTTTAAAGCGTATTTTCCTAAATGATACATTCAAAGGGATTTTTTTTGTTTATTTTTCAAAATGGTTGGAGTTAGATTCTTCTAAGGAACAAATTTCCCTAGAAATCTCTCTTGGGAACTGGATTTAACAACTCACTCTATTAGTTGTATAATCTTGGACAAGATATTTCTGTCTCTGAGTCTCAGTCTTGTCCTCTGTAAAATGGTGTTGATATCGATCAAAGATGTTAAAAAGAGGAGGTTGAATAGTAGAAGTCAAAAGAAGTTTGTGTTTGTATTAGTTGTTATGAAGTTAAAGAGGAGAGGTTAACAAACCCCGATCCTATTTCAGCTTACTACCTGCTTTTGTAAATAAAGTTTTATTGGAACATATCCATACTCATTTGAGCATTTTCTGTGGTTGTTTTTGTGGCACAAGAGTAGCACTGAGTAGTTAGTAACTGCCACTGGATCGTCCTCGAAGCCTAAAATAGTTATCTTCTGGCCATTTAAGAAAAAGTTTGCTGATTCCTGAGTTAAAGGGCTAGTATAGAACATTTGCTAGATGAGAACACTGAACCAAAGAGCTATTATGAACACTCTGTTGTTACTGGAACAAGTTAGTAACACGGTTATATTTATTAGCTCTGGAACTAAAATATGAAAATGTATTATTATTAATAAATGCCTATTGTAGTCAATTTGAATAATATATTAAAATATATGTTACTTATGGTAGGAAGATATTTCTGCACAGAAGTAGCATATTGGACATGCTTTTGTATTATCCTTTATGACTTTTTCTCTACATATGTCTGTTTTCTTTGTATGCAGTGTAGTTCATACTGAATATATAGTATTTTCTTTCTAACCTATCATTATAAGCATTTTTCCGTCATTTAAAATTTTTCACAAGTTTTATGGGTGGTGGGTATGGGCTTGTTTTGTTCACTGCTGTTTTCCTAGCACATAAAGGAGTGCCTGGCGTATACTAGATGTTCAATGAAATTTTGGCAAATGAATGAATAATGAATACATTCAACTTTTATTACCACAAGAGCGATACTTTATTTACTATTTAGCTATTCTTGGAAATATAGCTTATTTCTATTTTCTGGCTATTTTAAATAATATTGCAATGAATTTTTTTAGATTTAGATTGGTGAGTGTTTTGGTTAAATGTGACTGTGTAACTAGTGAGTGAGATATTTGTATTTGTATTTTTATTACTTTCTTATTCACTCCCTTTTATTTTACTTCAGTACATCTATCCGGGTCCAAGTGCGTGATTTTATTTAAAAGTTAACATTATGGACTCTGGAATCAAGTAACCCAAATTTGAACTCTACCTCTACATCTTAATAGCTCTGTAACTTTGGCAAGTGACTTCACCTCTCTAAGTGTTAATTTTTCTCATCTTGTAAAATGGGAATGAGATAATGCCAAGTGGGTACAGTGTCTAAATGAATACTAGGTATTTCAACATTATTTTTAATGTTGAAATTTTGTTATTATTAATATAAGATATTTTTTATACTTCTTTTTAAAAATAACTGCTACTTGCCTGTCAGTTGGAAGACTGGGAGATACATGGTACATGATATTACGTAAATGGCTCCTTTTTCTGGTACAAGGTTCTGACTTTGAACAGGTACCCATTTATATCAAAGCCACCAACAGACCTGAGACTTTTCTTATGTCTTCCTTTATGGTTAACTTTGAGCCTTAATTCTCTTAAACCCATGAACCCCACCACAAATGTCAATGAGTGCTATGCAGGAAAAAGGGTGTGTGAGCCTGAGCATAATGACTTTTGCTTATGCAAAAGAAATATGACTCCTTGGTGCTGTCAGGTTCCTGTGGGGGTCTGTGGGGCTCCATGAGAGCTGCTGTCTATGACATCTTTGCTGCTTAAGAAAAAAAAAAGGAAAGAAAGAAAGACAGGGTCTTGCTTTGTTTACCAAGGCTGGTCTTGAACTCCTGGGCTCAAGTTATCCTCCTACCACCTTGGTCTCCCAAAGTTCTGTGATTACAGGCATCAGGCACCACACCTGATCTCTTGCTTTTTGGTTTTTTGAGATGGAGTTTCCCGCTGTTGCCCAGGCTGGAGATCAATGGGCTTACTGCAATCCCTGTCTCCCAGGTTCAAGCTATTCTCCTCCCTTAGCTTCCCGAGTAGCTGGGATTACAGGCACCTGCCATCATGCCTGGCTAATTTTTGTATTTTTAGTAGAGACAGGGTTTCACTCTGTTGGCCAGTCTGGTCTCGAATACCTGACCTCAAGTAATCCACCCACCTCGGCCTCCCAAAGTGCTGGGATTACAGGCATGAGCCACTATGCCCAGCCTTTTTGCTTCTTAATGTATGACTTACAATAACTCTTTAACTCAGTGATCATTTGCCTGCCAATTTCAGAATCTCCTACTTATCATTTGACCACTGCGTGTAGGGATGCTGACTTAATGAACTGACTTTTATTATTGAGGACTGAAGAGTGGTTTTGAGAATCTGTTGCCCTGTCATGGTCATTGTCCTCGCTGAATCTCATTTTGAAAGCTGGCAATTGTGGTAGTAGTGAGAGGAAGAGCCAGTGCTCTAGCAGCTGTTGCTGAGGCTCTTTGGAGGCTTTGAGAAAAAATCTTGGGGACCCTACTGGGAGGCTGTTGTTGGGAAAGAGTAGTTACTTTGGAAGCTGAGAATGCAGAGTGTGCCATGCCCTCCTATTGCCAATACTGCTAGCCCCGAGTCAATACCTTTTGTTTCACTGGAAAAATTGCTAAAAGCACACTTTGGATGAAATTGTGATACCCTTTTGGATTTCACATTATATGTACAGAGGGCCTTCCCATAATAAAATTTTCATTATTGGCTCCAAAGCTCACTCAGTAGCATTGACCCCATTGTAGGTACTCAATATTTAGCAGAAATGACAGTGCTTCCTAGAGCTCATGGAGAAAGCCTGAGGATTCTGAAGAGTTCCTCCCCTTGATGATCAGCTCTAGGACTTACCCTGAATAGTTTGTGTCTAACAGGGACAAGTGGGAGGCCATGTGTCATTGATCTGACTGTGACTTTTTTCACTGCAGAGTTAGACATCTATGCCTTCAATTGGCATTGCCTTGTCTTTATCTCTATGTCTCAGTCACCGAAAGAAATCCCAGGTGTTTAAGAAGTCTTGTGTCTTCTTAGATTTGAATTTTATTTGTTAGCTATGGGATCTTGCAACATTAATTGAGCTTGTTGAGCCTCTGTTTTTCCTCATCGGTTTAGTGGGGGAGTATAATCCACCTCACAAGGTCACGAGGAGCAAGTCAGATAATACATATATCAGAGAGTGTCTGTAAATCATTTAGCTCAGTGTCTGGCATATAGTTGGTGCTCAATAATTCATTCTTATTGATTCTACTAGGAACATGGTAGAAGGTAATTTGTGGAAAACAGTGTTGGTTTGAAATTATATTTCCCAAATTAACCAAAGGAAAATGTAGGATTGTGAAATTTCTGTGTTGGCAAGGACCTTAAATGTATTTAGTTCATTATTTCTCGTATAACTTCATATTCAAGTCTTCTGAGGATCTTGTTTATCCCGAGTCACAGGGCCTACCTTATATCCAAAGAATCAGAATCTCTATAGTGGAGCCCAGGGCCTTGATTTTTGCATAGTCTTTATAATATCAGTGAGCATTTTGGAACCCCAGGACAGATCTCAAGCTTTCCCAAACTGTGCTCCTTGGAGCCTCAGTGTCTCCCGTCTTTCATGATCAAATGAAGCAGTGGTTTATATTGGGCTTTCATGTAAGACTTTGCTTGAAAAATGAGATTTCTAGATTAAATAAGAGAAGCAGACACTTTTAGAGATTTCTAGATTAAATAGCAGGTGTCCTTCTAAGCACTTTATATAAACTAATGAGAGAAAGAGAGAGACTAGTAGCAAGTTTACCCCTTAATTCAAAAGAATGGGGAAACTGAGATCCAGAGGTGGGGATGTGATTGTTGAAGGTCCTACACAGCTACATAGTACCACATTTACTATTAGAACCTGATTCTCCTAAGGCCCAATTGATTCATTCAGTAACATTTTATTGAGCATCTGCTGTAAAGCTTGTCCTCATAGAGTTTCCAATCATATATGTTTTAGTATAGGCAAATGACTTGCAATGTCACCATAGTACCAGGAGCTAGAAGGAGGCTTGCTTTCCACATAGGGTTAAGAGAATCTGCTTTTTAAATTTATTTTTATTTTTATTTTTAGTAGAGACAGGGTTTCACTATGTTGGCCAGGCTGGTCTTGAACTCCTGACCTCATGATCCACCTGCCTCGGCCTCCCAGAGTGCTGGGATTACAGGCATGAGCCAACACACCTGGCCACTTTTTTTTTTTGAGGTAGAGTCTCACTCTTTTTGCCCAGGCTGGAGTGCAGTAGCGTGATCTCAACTCACTGCAACCTTTGCCTCCCGGGTTCAAGAGATTCTTCTGCCTCAGTCTCCTGAATAGCAGGGATTACAGGCATGTGTCACCACACCCAGCTAATTTTTGTATTTTCATTAGAGTTGGAGTTTCACCATGTTGGCCCGGCTGGTCTTGAACTCTTGACCTCAGGTGATCCACCCGCCCTGGCTTACCAAAGTGCTGGGATTACAGGCATGAACCACTGTGCCCAGCCAGCTTACTCTTTTCTCAGGATCCCTTATGTGTATTTTTGTTCTATAGTGAATAGATAGAGAGTGTTCACTAAATGACATAAACAAGGGATTCAGAGACAT